CTCTGTCTGAGACCCTGGAGAGCTGCTACCAGTCTGAGTAGACATTCTGGCGGAACACAGATGTTGCGTGCAGAAGGTTAGGGGTTCGATCCCTGGTATCTCCGGTTAAGCCAAAGGTGATAAGAAAGTCTCTTCTCTGCTCTGGAGAGGTGCTGCAAGGCAGAAGAGAGGCCCTGCCAATAAGAATCAGTGTGGTGCAGTGGTCAGAGCGTTTGATTAGGATCTGGGAGACCGAGATTAGAATCCTCACTCTGCCATGGGGAAGCTTGCTGGGTGACCTTGGGCCAGTCATTGTTAGCTTAACCCTACCCTACCCGGGTTGTTGTGAAAGTAAAATGGAGAGCGGAGAACAGTGTTAAGTTCCTTTGGGGCCCTTTTGTGGGAGAAGGTGAGGTATCAATGAAGTGTAAGCCCATTAATCAATACTGAGCTAAAGGGACCGATCCTCTGGTAAGGCATGTGTTCAGGTGTATCCCACTTTTAGGAGGGGCTGTGGCCAGTGTTCCCTCTAAGCTGAGTTAGCGTGAGCTAGCTCACAGTTTTTTAGCCTCCAGCTCACACATTTTTGCCTTTGCTCAGGAAGGAGGGCTCCAGAGCAGACTATGTATGCAGCAGCCAAACCGTTCGCTCACAACTTTAATGCCAGTAGCTCACAAAGTAGAATTTTTGCTCACAAGACTCCACAGCTTAGAGGGAACATTGGTGTGGCTCAGTGGAAGAGCCTCTGCATGGCATGCAGAAGGTCCCAGGTTCGGTCCCCGGCATCTCCAGTTAAAGGATCTTAGGTAGCAGGTGTTGCAAAGGACCTTTCCGAGAGCTACTGCCAGTCAAAGTAGAAGCTACAGAGTGAGGTGGATTAGAGGTCCTGTTCAGAAGGACCTTGCAGCTCAGCTTTGCATGACAGGAGGTCCCCCAAGTACCATCCCTAGGTGGTGGTGGAAGAGGAAGAGGAGTAGGAAGAAGAAGAAATTGGGTTTATACCCCGCCCTTCACTTGGACTCTCAGAGCGGCTCACAATCTCCTTTCCCTTCCCCTCTCCACAACAGACACCCTGTGAGGTCGGTGGGGCTGAGAGAGCGCTTTCGAGGACTGCCCTTGAGAGAACAGCTCTGAGAGAACTGTGACTGGCCCAAGGTCACACCAGCATCTGCATGTGGAGGAGTGGGGAATCAAACCCGGTTCTCCCAGGTTAGAATCCACGCTCCTAACTACTACACCAAACTGGTGTCAGAAGAGGCTTTTTTTTTCTGTTTCAGACCCACTACCAGCCCAGGAAGATAAGATGGACCAGTGAGAGGCAGTGTGATGTAGTGGTTAGCACATTGGATAGGTCCTTGGGAGACCCAGGTTTTCATTTCCACTCTGCCATGGCAGTTGGTTGGGTGACCTTCAGCCAGTCACATCCTTTCAACTTCATCTACCTCATGGGGTTGGTATGGGGTAAAACAGAGGAGAGGAAAGTGGTGTAAACCACTGTGGGTCTCCGTTGGGGAGGCAAGTGAGGGATAAAATATCAAGATGCTCAAGAGAGAGAGCCTTCTTGGAGTTGGTGTCAAAATTATGGAACTCCTTCCCCATCTCTCCCTGTCTTCCGCTGATGGATGGAGCCTTTTTTTTGTCCTTCCTGGCATTGCCTCAACGATTCCTCGTTCCTGCCTTATGTTTTAATCCGCTGTATTTTTTTCATTTTAGATGTGTATTTTTAGCTCTGTTTTTTAATTGGTTTTCTGAGGTATTTTCATCACGCCGTTTTAATTGTTCGCTGCCTTGGCGACCTGGATTGGGCAGAAAGGAAGGAGATATGTGGAAATAAAATTAAAAATAAAATGTGACTTGGTGGAAGGCAGCTGTATATGTCTGTGGGAGGATGAACTTTCCAGAAGGGAGGGTGGATCAAAAGGCCTGATAAATCTCTCAGGCCACAGGGGTCTTCTCCCTCCTTGGTTCATAGGGTTATCAGCTTTGGGTTGGGAAATACCTGGAGATTTTGTGGGTAGAGCCTGGGGAAGGTTGAGTTTTGGGGAGGGGAGGGTAACCTCAGAAGGGCATAAGGCCACAGAATTCACTCTCCAAAGCTGCCCTCTTCTCCAGGGGAACTCATCTTGGTCATCTGCAAATCAGTTATCATCATGGACCAATGCTCCCTCTAAGCTGTGGAGTTTTGTGAGCAAGGATTCTACTTTGATAGCTACCGGCATTAAAGTTGCGAGCGGGCGATTTGGCTACTGCATCAGTCAGTTTGCTCTGGAGCCCTCCTTCCTGAGCGAAGACAAAAATGGGTGAGCCGGAGGCTAAAAAACTGTGAGCTAGCTCACACTAACTCAGCTTAGAGGGAACACTGAATTTGTGGGAGATCTCCAGGTGGCAGCTCTACTGATTTAGCAGGAGCGTATTCTGCAACTCCTCAACCCCTAGTTTTGGGTGTGTCCTCACACTCTTCCAAGGTACAAGGAGATCAGAAGAGCCCTGCTGGATCAGACCGGTCTCTCTAGTCCAGCATCCCGTCTCACACAGTGGCCAACCAGTTCCTCTGGAGGGCCAACAACAGGGCATACAGGCTGAGGCCTTCCCCTGATTAAAAATATGACAATCCCTGCTGGATCAGACCAGTGGTCTCTCTAGTCCAGCATCCCGTCTCACACAGTGGCCAACCAGTTCCTCTGGAGGGCCAACAACAGGGCATACAGGCTGAGGCCTTCCCCTGATTAAAAATATGACAATCCCTGCTGGATCAGACCAGTGGTCTCTCTAGTCCAGCATCCCGTCTCACACAGTGGCCAACCAGTTCCTCTGGAGGGCCAACAACAGGGCATACAGGCTGAGGCCTTCCCCTGATTAAAAATATGACAATCCCTGCTGGATCAGACCAGTGGTCTCTCTAGTCCAGCATCCCGTCTCACACAGTGGCCAACCAGTTCCTCTGGAGGGCCAACAACAGGGCATACAGGCTGAGGCCTTCCCCTGATTAAAAATATGACAATCCCTGCTGGATCAGACCAGTGGTCTCTCTAGTCCAGCATCCCGTCTCACACAGTGGCCAACCAGTTCCTCTGGAGGGCCAACAACAGGGCATACAGGCTGAGGCCTTCCCCTGATTAAAAATATGACAATCCCTGCTGGATCAGACCAGTGGTCTCTCTAGTCCAGCATCCCGTCTCACACAGTGGCCAACCAGTTCCTCTGGAGGTCCAGCAGCAGGGCATAGAGGCCGAGGCCTTCCCCCGATGTTGCCTCCTAGCACAGAGGTTCACTGCCTCTGAACATGGAGGTTCCCCTCAGTCCCTATAGCTCGTAGCCACTGGTAGACCTCTCCTCCATGCATCTGTCTAATCCCTTGTAAAGCCAGCTATGCCTGCGGCCATTGCTCCATCCTCTGAGACCCCTTCTGGTACACCTTTGACATCTCTACTCCAACACACTCCTGAGGCTAGCCAAGGTCATCGCAGATGCTGGGTGCTTTATGGCCTCCATCTCCTCTCCACCTGGGGGGCAGGGGGGATGGGAGACTGTCACGCCAGTTTCATCCAACAAGGCCATAAAGTTCTCACTGCTCCTTAGAAGCTGTGCTTGTCCCACTGGGATTCTCTTGCATTATTGAATTCTCCCAAAGCATCGGTGTTTGGGAGAGGGCACCGCTACGATCAGCTCTGGCCATTCAAAGCTGTAGCCCCAAATATACTGACTGGACGGAGGTCTGATTCCGCTCATTGACTTGGTTCAGACCCAACCCAAAGCCCCGGTTGACTTTAATCACAGTTTGTGGAATTAGAATTCGGCTCACAGATGATGGCCAAAATCCTAATGTGCCTCAGCAATGTTGGTTACCTCAACTTTGCTCTTTCCCCGTCCAGTCCCAGCCTGCCTTACAACAAGGGTGAACTTGGGCAGATCATGAGAGGGAGGGCAGGAAGGTTTGCCTCAGTGCTTAGTTCTTGTGACCCTTTCTGACACGCCCAGGGAAATGCTGATCGCCACCTTTGGGGTCAGGAAGCCATTTTTCTCCAGGCCAGTTTGGCCAGGGATCCTGGTTTGTTTGTTTTTTTGCCATCTTCTGGACATGGAGCAGGGGTCACTAAGAGAGTGGAGGGGGGAGGTATTTGTGAATATGCTGATCGCCACTTTGGGGTCAGGAAGCCATTGTTTTCCAGGCCAGTTTGGCCAGGGATCCTGGAGGGTTGTGGAGGGGTTTTTTTTTGCCCTCTTCTGGGCCTAGAGCCTAGGGTCACTAGGGGTGTGTGTGTGGGAGATATTTGTGGATTTCCTGCATCGTGCAGGGGATTGGACTAGATGACCCTGGAGAGGTCCCCTCCTACTCTGTGGTTCTATAAAGGGTTTAAGTCGAGATGTCCACGTTCATACACCACACTGAACTGTAGTTAAGACTAACTATTAGTAGTAGTAGTAGAAGAAGAGATTGGATTTATACCCCGCCCCAAGGGAGTCTCAGCGTGGTTTACAATCTCCTTTCCCTTCCCCTCCTCACAACAGACACCCTGTTAGCTCGGTGGGGCTGAGAGAGCTCCGACAGAAACTTCTCTTTTTCAAGGACAGCTGTGCCAGAGCTTGTGACTGACCCAAGGTCACACCAGCAGGTGCAAGTGGAGGAGTGGGGAATCAAACCCGGCTCTCCCAGATTAGAGTCCGCGCACTTAACCACGACACCAAACTGGCTCTCTAGTATTATGTTTGCTAGCACGTGTTTGCACATGCTCTGGTTTTAACTTTATTACTGTTTTAATGTATCTCGCTGTTTTAATATATCTATATTATACGTCTGCTGTAAGCCACCCTGAGCCTGCCTGGCAGGGAGGGCGGGGTACAAATTAAATAAATAAAATAAAATAAAGGTTTCCGATTCCAGTTCAATGGCCCCTAGCTATCTGCAGTTATTGGAGCATCACGTCTGAACTGAACTAACCCTTCTCAGAAGCTGTGGTGTAGGACTGGGAGGGAAGACAGCCTCCCCCCCTCCCCCCCGGAGGAATTGGGTTGCTTTAAAGATTCCTTTCGTGTCACCTTCACATCTGTCCCTGTCCCTTTCTGATTTGCCTAGGGGTGCCACGTCGGTGGTGTACAGCTGTGAAGACCGAGAGACCCATGTCCAGTACGCTGCCAAAATACTGCAGAAGACGGTAAGTGAGCAGCAGTTGCGTGTTTCAGTTTTTACGGAGTGGGATTTCCTCTCTTTCCTGAACACAGGGAAGTAATGGCTTGACAGTCGAATCTCTTTGGGCTCAGAGACTCCAACGTGCCAGTCATGTGGTACCACGGAAGGGTCATCAATGCTCCCTCTAAGCTGTGGAGTCCTGTGAGCAAAAATTCTGCTTTGTGAGCTACTGGCATTAAAGTTGTGAGCGAGCGATTTGGCTACGGCATAAATTAGTTGGCTCTGGAGCCAATCCTTCCTGAGCGAAGACGAAAATGTGTGAGCCGGAGGCTAAAAGACTGGGCTGGCTCACACTAACGCAGCTCAGAGGGAACACACCTCTAAGTCAACGTGAACAAAGCAGGCCTATTTGGCAGATCAGTCCGGCACTCTAGAGTGTCTGGTGTGGCCCATTGCCAGCCCAACCGCCAGGCAAACCATACATGCCAGATTCTGAGGGGCACTGAAAACGCGAAAGGAGCCTCTACCGGCTTGAGGAGAAGTTTGGAATTCATGGGCGGCTGGAATCGCCAGTCTTCTGCAGCTGCTGTGATGGGTTATGGAGGCCCTCTGAAGAGAGCTTGTCTGTTTTCATTTTTACATTGCTTATTTTGAAGGTCCGGTCAGTGAAACATTCATTCTAGACTTCTCTCTACTGAACTGGGGAAGGACAAGTAACAGTTGACCTAGGGTGCTAAAAAAAACTTGAGCTGACTCTGAAGAAGCCCCCTGGAGATGCCTTCTCAGCTGCCTGTGCCTGGTTAAGAAGAACCGTTCTGGATCAGACCAGGAATCCATCAGCATCTTCTCTCACACAGTGGCCAACCAGTTCTCTGGAGGTCCAGTAACACGGCATAGAGGCCGAGGCCTTCATAAGAATATAAGAAGAGCCCTGCTGGGTTAGACCAGTGGTCCATCTCCTAAGAACTTCAGAAGAGCCCTGATAGATCAGACCAGTGAAGGTCCATCTAGTCCAGCATCCGATCTCACACAGTGGCCAACCAGTTCCTCTGGAGGTCCAGTAACATGGCCTAGAGGCCGAGGCCTTCATAAGAATATAAGAAGAGCCCTGCTGGGTTAGACCAGTGGTCCATCTCCTAAGAACATCAGAAGAGCCCTGTTAGATCAGACCAGTGAGGGTCCATCTAGTCCAACATCCGATCTCACACAGTGGCTAACCAGTTCCTCTGGAGGTCCAGTAACACGTCCTAGAGGCTGAGGCCTTCATAAGAATATAAGAAGAGCCCTGCTGGATCAGACCAGTGAAGGTCCATCTAGTCCAGCATCCTGTCTCACACAGTGGCCAACCAGTTCCTCTGGAGGTCCAGTAACACGTCCTAGAGGCTGAGGCCTTCATAAGAATATAAGAAGAGCCCTGCTGGATCAGACCAGTGAAGGTCCATCTAGTCCAGCATCCTGTCTCACACAGTGGCCAACCTGTTCCTCTGGAGGTCCAGTAACACTGCCTAGAGGCCGAGGCCTTCATAAGAATATAAGAAGACCCCTGCTGGATCGGACCAATGGTCCATCTCCTAAGAACATCAGAAGAGCCCTGCTGGATCAGACCAGTGAAGGTCCATCTAGTCCAGCATCCTGTCTCACACAGTGGCCAACCAGTTCCTCTGGACAGCCAACAACAGGGCATAGAGGCCGAGGCCTTCATAAGAACATCAGAAGCGCCCTGCTGGATCAGAGCTGTGGTCCATCTACTATGAACATCAGAAGAGCCCTGATAGATCAGACCAGTGAGGATCCATCTAGTCCAGCAGCCTGTCTCACACAGTGGCCAACCAATTCCTCTGGAGGTCCAGCAACAGGTAATAGAGGCCGAGGCCTTCCCCTGATGCTGCCTCCTAGCTCAAAGGTTTCCTTTGTCATTGTGCATGCATCCGCCATTTATCCTCTTGGCCTTTGCAAGCTGTCCTTGAAAAAGATTTGGAAGGTTGCCGTCCCCTTTCTGCGATGGAGCGTGCCCAAGTCGGCAGCTGTGTGAGGGGCTTCCTACGAGGAACAGAATGGTGGTCGCACTGGCAATTGGCAGTGATTGATTGATTTTTAGTTGGGGAGAACATGGATGGATTACATGTCCCTCCCTCTTTTTAAATTTTCAGATAGACAAGAAAATTGTCAGGACCGAAATTGGCGTCTTGCTGAGACTCTCGCATCCAAATATAGTAAGTAAGAGCGTCCTGTGTTGCTTTGTGCACTGTGAAAACTCCCTCCCCAATGCATGCTCTCTCTTGTTGGTGCCTGCACCCTTCGTTCAGATCCCTGTCTTTCCAGAGCCGGCTTCGGGGAGGGGCAGCCTGGCAAAGGAGGTGTTTAGTGTTAAGAGCGCAGACTCTAATCTGGGAGAACCAGGTTTGATCCCCCACTCCTCCACATGCAGCTGCTGGTGTGACCTTGGGTCACTCACAAGTTCTCTCAGAGCTGTTCTCTCCAGGGCAGTTCTATCAGAGCTGTCTCAGCCCCCACCTACCTCACAGGGTGTCTGCTGTGGGGAGAGGAAGGGAAAGCAGATTGTAAGCTGCTCTGAGACTCTGGAGGGTGGGGTATAAATCCAATCTCTTCTTCTTCAGTGGTGCCAGGGAGGGCTGCAGATTTGGTGTGGGAGATGGGGTTGGGGTATTTTGACCCTTCTGCCTTTCTTTTTCTGCAGAGATAGTTGGCTTCTGCTGTGCAGAACCCCATACTTTTCTGCCTTCCAGGTACACGAACACCAAAACGTGTTCATGCATTCACCAGAGTGAGAGCCGGTTGGTTTTCTGGCAGCTGGAGTGAGCACAGCAAATATTGATGAAGGGGTTAACATTCCACATGCCTAAATGCTCTTTTGCAGGCCTAAGTCCATTAAACCGAATGGGACATTCCTTTGAGTAAGTACCTAGGATCGTGCCCACAGGAATCAGCACTGCAGAATTCCTGTGCGGAGCAGAATGAAACTGGAATCCAACTGCACCTATTTCTTGTTTCTTCATATTTATAGCCCGCCCTTCCCAGAAGGCTAACAGGCTAACAAAATTTATTCCAAGCTCTCATGAGTCAGAGCTCAGTTTATTGGATACATGAGGTACACATCTATCATGCCAGTGTATGCACATCAGAAGGAGTTACTGTATTTACTTGAATGTAAGAAGGCCTGTAGCCAGGTTTTTGTGGCTTGTGGGGCAAAATTTTTTCTGTTGGGGCTGAAGTTCTCAGTGCAGAGAAAAAAGCCATTTAGCCAATAGAAAGCTGTAAGCAGGACAGATCTCTAAACTGCAAGCTGTCAACCACTTGAGATGACAGTTCTCAGCTGCTGCAAGTTAATCACTTCTGCCAGCCTAAGCAACAGTTCTGATAACAAGCCGGCAGATGGGGGTGATGACTTCTATAGTAAAGAAAGCTCACACTTAGGCAGAAAAACTCTCTTCAAGGAGACCAGTTTCTTGACGCAGAAGGGATCCTAGGGGTCACCTACTCCAACCCCCTTGCTCAGTGCGGGAATTAGTCAATCACAGCACCCCACTCTGATTAAAGGAGCATACACATTTAAAAAATGTTTTCAAATGATTGAAAAAAGCATTTACAGGAGAAATTCTTGTGGGGCTGTGCCTTTAAGAATGGGGGTGGAGCCTCCAAAAGCCCCACTGTAGCTATGGGCCTGAATGTAAGATGACCCCCTGAAAAATGTTATATGCAAAAACATTTTATTATTGGACATAACTGTAACTTGTATGAAACTGTAAGACAACCGCCTCTTTTTATAGCATACCTGTGGGGGGGTGGGACTAGTCTTCCATCTTCTATATAAATCGGCGTGATCATCATATACCTTGTGCACGTGATGAATTGTGAGCTGACTCACAAGAGCTTGTGGTAAGTCCTGGCACTTAGTGCCTGAAATATACTTATTAAATATGATCCCAGAAGACTATAGCTATAATGAAAAATACCTCATATTATATATAATTACAGCTACGAGAATATTATGGGCAAAATACTGGAAGCAAGACAATATACCCAAAAAAGACGAAGTAACAGAAAGACTGATGAGAGTAGCTGAAATGGATAAACTAAGCTTAATGTTACAGGGGGAAAACGAAGAAGTTTTTACAAAAAGATGGTCGGGAATGTATAATTGGCTAGAAAACAAGCAAAAGACTCTAATGTATATATCTATATGAACAAATGGTTCGGCCAGCAGCATGTCAATTTTGGCAGTACGAGCTTGGGGAGTCTTTGGGCCAGCCGAATGTCAATTTCGGCCCCATTATATCCTATGGGCCATTGAAGTCAACGGCGAAAACATAGGGTATATTCTGGGGGCTGGAGGGGAGGGGGTTTGAGGGAGAAGCTCCAAACTCACAGGGTAGCTGCTGGGGCCTCTCCCCAAGATACCCACCAGGTTTTAAGAACATTGAACCAGGGGGTCCAATTCTATGGGCCCCCAAACAGGTTGCCCCCATCCCCTCCATTGCTCTCTAAGTTGGGGAAATGGCACATAGGATATAATGGGGCCGAATCACCACCAAAATTTGGCAGCAATTCGTCGGCAAGCCGATTTGGATCAGAGAATCTGAATTGGCCCGCAGCAGCCCGAAAGGGGCCCGAATGGGCCATTTTCGGGGGTGCATTCGGTTCAGACGAACCAAATGCACTTCCCTAGTTGCTACACAGAGGCAGGCCATGGCAAACCACCTCTGAACACCCCTCGCCTTGAAAGCCCTACGGGGTTGCTGCTAGTCGGCTACGACTCGATGGCGCTTTCCTCCACCAGCGCATGGCCAATTCCATTCGCACTTGAGTTTGGCTCTGCCTTCGCCCAGTCGGGTCTTCCTAGTGGAATCCTGCTTCGAATTCTGTGTCTGAGCAAGGGATGAGAGCGCTCTGTTCCTTTCTTGATGCTTGTTGGAAAGACTGTGATCTTCAGTTTGTGCTTCTGCAGTTGTAGCAAAAAAAAACCCCAGTTCATGGACTGTTACACTATATATATTTTGTTGCTGTTGTTGTTGTTCAGTCGCACAGTCGAGTCCCGACTCTTCGCGACCCCAGGGACCACATCACGCCAGGCCCTCCTGTCTTCCGTCGTGCTCCAAAGTTTGCTTAATTTCATGTTCGTTCGTTGCATCGATAACACTGTTACTGTCCATGGGGTTTTCTTGGCAAAGATACTGGAGTGGGTTGCCATTTCCTTCTCCAGTGGATCACGCTTTGTCTGAGTTCTCTGCTATGGCCTGTCTG